ATGTGCACATATATATATATATGTAAGTGTATGTACATATATATATATATGTAAGTGTACATACGTAAATGTATATGTATATATATATATACATATAAATATATATATATATATATAGACATACTCATATGTATGTACATACATGTTTATCTGTTTATATATACATACATACATATATATATATATACAAATATGTGCATTTTTGTAAGTAGCAAATAAGTACGTAAGTAAGCCAACAAGCACGTAAGTAAGCAAGTAAAGTAGGTAAGTAAGGAAAACGAAGGGGTGGGGACTGCCCACCCCAAGCCTGAAACTCTAGACCCTGCTCCTTGAAGCCTTAGGACCTGAAAACGCAAAATCTTAAAATACCTAAACCCTAAACCCTAAACCCTAAACCCTAAACCCTAAACCCTAAACCCTAAACCCTAAACCCTAAACCCTAAACCCCAAAAAAAAAACTGAAATTGACTGAGGAATTCGCTGCTCAAAAGCTCGGTGAGGCGAACGGCGAAGGCGAGTGCCTCGGGCTTCTGCCATGGAGGCTTGGCGTTCGCAGGGTTAGAGCTTCGCGTTCAGCATAGGGGCCTCAATAATTAGAATAGTGTTTGCCGGTTATTATACTGTGATTATAATAAGGAACCCCCCAAACCCTAGTCTAATTATCAAGGCCCCTACATTACATTAGGGTTTAGGTTTAGGGTTTGGGGTTCAGGGTTTCGGGTTTAGAGTTTAGGGCTTAGGGCTTGCAGGTTCACAAGGTTGCTTGTCGAATACGGACTTTTACACGGGTTTGATAGGATACATAGGATGCTTCTAACGGTGTTTTTTTTTACGAGGTTGCTTTAGAGTCTTGTGGAGGGTTCAGGGTTTAGGTTTAGGCCTTATAGCGGCTATGTGGGAGTGTCATAGGATTGAATATAGACGAGACATCAGTACTTGAGTAGAAGACGATTTAGGGGTATATCATCGCGTAGACTACTATGCATTGAAAGCTCTGTCGCGTAGGGTTTATGTGGTGTCGGGCGTGGGGTTCTTGCACGAGCCTTTACCATCATACTATGGTCATACTCAGGACCCAGGACGGTAAGGACATAGTATTCTAATTCTTCCCGAGCCATATATTGGCCGTCCCCTTCAGTGCGAGTGGATAATGCTCGTGAAGAGGCATCATCCAGGGCATGATGGGTTTGGGGTTCAGGGTTTAGGGGTTTTGGAGTCTTGGACTTACAGGTTTAAGCTTCAGGGCTTAAGGCTTGGAGTTTGGGGTTTCAGGTGCGCCATCCGTTTCTTCTCCCGCCCCGTGCCGTTGCCGGGCCGTAAGGCACCGTTTGGGCTTAGGCCTAAGCCAAGGAAGGGAACTTCTTGTCTTCTTCCATCGATAGCTTTGGAGTTCTCTGTATCATCAAACAAGGCCTTCATATAGCGTCTACTAACTGCATACCATCTACTTGGAGGATCATGGGACTTAGTAAGTACGGTTATAACTTCCTTAATTGGGGTTGTAATTACTTATAAGTATAGTTACCATATTTATAACCCTAGTTACTAAGTCCCATGATCCTCCAAGTACCATAATCCTACTATCTAGTATAGTAAGCATCTCTGAGAGGTCTGCTCTTTTGGGCCTAGGAGCCGGGCCTGGGGGGCACCCTGCGCCTATCGAGTCCTAGGGGCTTCATAGAAGGCCGGGGTTTTGGGTTTTGGGTTTACGGCATGGGGTTTAGGGTTTAAGGTCTTTCGGTTTGGGGTTTAGGGGTTTTGGAGTTCAGGGTATGGGGCATTATAACCACGTTACAGAAGGAACCCCAAGGAACAGTACTCGTAGTGAGTCAAGCTCTATGCTAAGCGCCGCCCACCACGGTAGGCGGGCAACCTAAGCCTTGCCTGTTGGATGTATGTTTTCGAGCCTGGGTTGTTGAGGCTCTTGAGGGTTCTTGTTCCAGGCTTGGCGTTTAGGGTTTGCAGAAACGGTAAAGCCCAAACTCGAAACCTTCAACCGTAAAGCGTCTATAACCCTAAACCTCTCAAAGAACACTCATAGAACCCTTGCTGGAGCCCGTAATATAGGGGCCCTACCTAGTAGTTAGAATAGGGATTTTGGGCCCATTTTAATTACTATAACTATAATGAGGAACCCCAAAATAGCATTAGTAATTATTTAGGCCCCAAAATCAGAAACACCCCTAAACTCTAAACCCTACACCCTAAACCCTAAACCCTAAACCCTTAACCTTAGAAACCAAGGAGCCGTGCTGCGCAGCCGCCTCGCAGAGCCGGCCTCTGGGAGAAGCTCCAGCCGCAGCTCACTGGGATGCACCGACAGCGTCCTGGGAGATACGGGAGACCCCTTGTTAGGGTTTAGGGTCTAGGGTTTAGGGTTTAGGGTTTAGGGTTTAGGGTTTAGGGTTTAGGGTTTAGGGTTTAGGGAGGCCCCTTAAAGGGTACCCTTCTGAATCCTACTTATGGCTCTCTTAAAAGGGACCTTATTGAGAGGGTCTATATTTCCAAGGGCCCCCCTAATCCGAAACCCTAAACCCTATATCCTAAACCCTGAACCCTAGACCCTAAACCCTTACCCTAGACCCTAAACCCTATACCCTAAACCCTTTTTGCAGTATTAGAGGCCTAGTGTAGGGGCCTAAATCGTTACTACTAATACCATTTTGGGGGTTCCTTATTATAAATAGAATAATATAATGGGCCCCACACCCCTGTTCTAATTATGAAGGCCCCTATATCATGTTTCGGAATTCTAGAATTCCTTTGGCGGTTTCTCCGGCAGCGACCCTTTTTAGTGGGTTTTGACAGGGCGCTGGGAGACTGTTATAGAGCTTTAGGGTTGAAGAGGGCGTTGTGCCTCCATCGGCCCTCATAGGCTCTTGTAAACGGTGTTAGAAGGGTTTAATATAGACGCCTTAATGATTACCTATGCTATTTTCGGGGGTTCCTTATGTGATTATAGTATAATCTACCCCAAAACCCTATTACTAAGGTCCGTTTATTACGGTTTGGGTTTTGGGGGTTTGATGGTCCTTGAGTTTAGGGCTTAGATCTAGACCCCCTAGACTTCTCGACTCCATGCCCCAAACCCTCAACCCCAAAGGCCTAAAGCCCCAGCCCCAGACGCCTCATTGCGAGCACCTTACTTCCAACTCACGGTTTAGGGTTGTTTGTTTACAGTTGGGTTCTTTACTTTACGGTTTAGGGTTTAGGGTTTAGGTGCAAGTATCAGCAAAAACACAGAATCGCAACCCCAAATCCAAATGTGTCCTGGCGAAGGCCCAGTACAGCTCATCCTCGTGCGCTTGCGCCCACAGTAGGCTGCTGCTGTAGTTGTTCGCCTTAGTGTAGGTGACCGATTTCAACATGCAAAAAAATGTTTTGCAGTGCTAAATCGGTTTACTGGTAGAAGTTTATAGATCTTCATTGAGGTTTGTGGGGGCTTTATAAGGTTCCACCCTGAACCCTAAACCCTAAGTGACCCTGGAGACCACCAAGAGAGCACCAAGGAGACCAATAGCACCACCAGGATAGGGGACCTCGGCCAACCTGCCTTTGCCCATGTGGGCAGTTCTCTACATTACGGTCCCTTTGCACGTCCCCAAAACAGTACGGCAGCGTTATCAAAAAGAAGGCCTTACAAGGGACACTAATTTAAAGATTGAAGTACCTATGTACTGGCGATTCAGAGATACCTGACCACTGCGGCAATTGCTGGAAGCTCCCCAGAGACACCTCGCCCGGCGGTTTGGCCCAACCTTCCCGCGTGCCATTCAGCGCTGCTTCCCCCCATGTTCTGGCGGAATCATCGACACCTCACCATGACACGGCAGTAGTTGGCGGAACCTTACGCACGCAACGTAGGCGCCCCTTTCGCGAACATGGCGTGGGCCGCACTGTTTGAGGACCTATGCTACAGTAGGAGCCAGAAAGTCGGAAAACCATTATCCCCATGCTCTCAAGGTGAAGTAGGTGGAGTTCCAGCATTAGTCATCCCAAGTCCATGTTCCAACTTTCTGCAGTTCACTAAACCCTACCTTAACCTACCAAAACCTACTTTTTTGTAGGGTCCGTATAAATTCCATATTAGGGTATTTAATAAGAACCTACAAAAAAAGTAGGTTTTGGTAGGTTAAGGTAAACCTTATCTCCAAGTTAGAATTCATGCTCTGAAGGGCAGGCTTCAGAGCCCTTTGAGGCTTTAGGGCTTTTTTTTGAGGGTTTTGGGGCTTAGGTTTTTAGTTCAGGGTTTAGGGTTTAGGGTTTAGGGTTTGGGCTTTTAGTTTACGGTTTAGGATGTTTCGGGACTTACGGGTTTACGGGGTGAGGGCTTTGGGTTTAGCGTGGTTTTAGGATTTGGGGTTTAGGGTATGGGGCCGAGTTGCTTCTGGAAGGTCCAGAGCCACCTGCAACAGTAGGCTGTCAGGTTGTTTTGGGCAAAGTTGGGGAGAAGCGCGCAAGATTTACGCTTGAGGATAAGTTGCAACATCAGAAACGTTTGAGAAGTTTGGCTGGGAGCTGCAATCTGGGATGCCCTCAGCGACAAGCTTCTAAGCTTGCAACTCTGGGGTTTAGCACTAAACCCTCGGTTACGAGCCCCGACCCCTAAATAATGAAGTGACCGTGCGGCTGGCAGCATTTGCGCGCGGCTGTTGTGCCTCGAATCCCTTTCGAATTCTTAGAACGCTTGCAACTTGTATTATCCTACGGCTAAAGCTGCTGCCCACACACTTCTGCGCATCGAATCCTAGCAACGTCTGTTATTTGGGTCGTTCTTCTCTTGGCAGCTTTCCTGTGGCAGGGTAGCAGCGGACTAACTCCTTCTGTGACTAACTCATCTGCTTAGTTGCTCCTATCCGGGAATGTGGCATGCGTCTCGGGTCCTTCAGGGGCCTGAAAGACTAAACCTTAAAACCCCTAACCCTACAAACCGGAAACCCAAAATCGATGCTGTCGATCCTAAACCCTAAACCCTAAACCCCAAGCCCTAAACCCCAAGCCCTAAGCCCTAAACCCTAAGCCCTAAACCCCACCTCAAGCACGACCTGCACCGCAGCGCTCTGGACGATCTCGGCATCCTCCTGGAGGCATTCGCCCTGCACGCGCCAGCGTCCGTCCTGACAGCCCGACTCTGACGAAACAAGGGTTTTCGTGGTTTAGGGTTTAGGGTTTCAGGGCCTTGATTTAGATTTGGAGAATATATTATACTATGTCTTGATAAGGGACTACGAAAGAGAAATCTTACGAATGATTTAGGCATCTATCTTAACCGTAAACTGACCTCCGAGCCCTGCACTCCGAGCCACCGAGTTGAAGGTTTAGGGGACCTTCCCAGAGACTCCAATACCCCTTAATTAAGGAATATACCTTAAATTATAATAGGATCCCTAATAAGATTTAAGGTGTATTCCTTAATTAAGGGGTATTGGAGTCTCTGGGTTCATCCAGGCTTTGAAGTTTTGGATAGGTTGACAGGGTGCACAGCCCTGGGTGCGTGGTCCATGGTGTCGACTCCTCCGGAAATCGGAACCCCATGTCTGTACTAAACTTCACGGGTTCGTCGAAAGGGTTGCAGCTGTGGATTTCCCATCCCCGCCACTTCAAATCCTGAATCTTCTCTGAACACATCTCATGTCTCGCACGACCCAATTAAACAACTCATGCCCCCAAACACCTGCAACGAAGGCGGACACCCCAAACCCTGCAGCCTGCAACTATACCATACAGCATACAAACTCACACTCAACACTCAAACCCAAACAGCCATAAATCCCGCAGCCTTTTCTTCAAAACCTTATAGAACAATTACACTGAGGCTGACGCTGATGACAACAAACCGATCAGGGCTCAAAAACCCAAACCCGCTGCAAGGCCTGGCAAAAAGCAAGATCAGCTCCGTCAGCTCGCGTAAAGCCGTCTGCGCATCGCACGTCGCAGGCAGATCCGTGTGGCAATCCCTGACCTGTCATGTAGTGAAAGTTGGCCGGTTCAGGTTTTGGAGATTTGACGGTTTAGGTATTCAGGACTTTCGTGTTAAGGGTTCAGAGCTTGAAGTTCGATATCGGTTGCGGGATCTGGGTGTGGACGCTGGGTTAAGGGACCCTCACTTTACCTGTCGTGACTGTGGTGCACCCCTGCGATCCTGCTTTCTCAGCAAAGGGCACATTTGTCGTCGTCGCCATCGCAGCAGCAGCAGCAGAAGCACTAGTAGCAGCAGTAGTCGTCGTCGCCACCGCCGGCCTCGTCGTCGTTGTCGTCGCAGTAGTAGCCGTAGTAGCAGTAGCAGTAGCAGTAGCTGTAGCTGTAGCTGTAGCTGTGGGAGCAGCAGTAGCAGCAGCAATAACAGCAGCAGCAGCAGCAGTAGTAGCAGTAGTAGAAGTAGTAGTAGTAGTAGTAGTAGTAGTAGTAGTAGTAGTAGTGATAGTAGTAGTAGTAGTAGTAGTAGTAGTAGTGATAGTAGTAGTAGGAGTAGTAGGAGTAGAAGTAGCAGTAGCAGTAGCAGTAGCAGTAGCAGTAGTAGTAGTAGTAGTAGTAGTAGTAGTAGTCGTAGTAGTAGTACTAGTACTAGTACTAGTACTAGTACTAGTAGTACTA